GCACATGGAGCTGAGGAGAAGGGCGCTGGAGACGGTGGGACGCTTGCAGTGTTCGTTGTACATGTGGTCGAGGCCGGGAAGGTGCGGGTGCCAGAGGATGTAGGGTTTGAGGAAAGGCTTGAGGTGTGCGAGGGTGTGGCGCGGGATGAGGTCGAGGATGTCGATGTTGGTGAGGGAGCGATCGATGCGGCAGAGGAGGTAGGTGGTGAAGCTGGGTTGTTGTGCGGCGTAGTCGATGAGCACCGAGAGGGGTCTCCAGAGCGAGGTCCAGGTGCGACCGGGAGGCTGCACCTTGGAGGGGGTCGAGGAGGTGGCGGCGGTGGAGGAGGGGGAAGGCGCGGAGCCGGGCAAGGCGGGTTTGCGGTCGGCGGGGGATCTTGCGGGGTCCCTTGTGGATGGATTGGTGGTGGACCAGTGGGAGCGGTCGGGCGCACGCAAAGATGCCGGGGATGCGAGGGAGGAGGGAGTGGCTGCGTCCTCTGCGATGGGGTTGAAGAACTGGACCGAGGCGAGCGTGGAGGCGGCTTCTCTGGAGCTGGAAGCGTCGTTGGAGGAGGCTGGACCGCGGGGCGACATGTCTTGTGGATCGTCGTAGGCGGTGTTTCGATCCGAGAGGTGAGCTGCGGCGGCGGCGAGCTGTTCGAGCGATCCTGGACTTCGTGGCGGCGAGGAAGCCAGACGGGAGGAGCTGGGTTCTGACTTGACGGGAGCTGGTGTAGCGGAAGCAGCAGAGGCAGAGGTCGAGGTCGAGGTCGAGGTCGAGGCAGTGGCCGGCACTTTTGGCCGACGCTTTCTGTCACCGTCCCATACGACGCAGTCGAGGGAGAGAACCTTGCATCGGTGGCAGGCCATGTTGTGTGAGAGTGGCGTCATGGAGGAAGGTGTGGTGAGGCTGTGATCTGGCAGTTCGCACCTGGCCTTCTTCTCGCGACACTTGAGGCAGCTTCGTTTCGCATAGGCTCTGCGACGTGCGGTCTGCTTTTTGGGAGTGTCTGCGTCGCCGTTGTCGAGCTCGGGTTCGTGCTTTGTTGGTGGGATGCCAAGCTCATGGTGGCGCGGATGTTGAGAGGTGTGCCTCTCTGCAGGCATCGCGAGGAGGTGTCAGTGTGTGTGTATTGTTGAGAAAGAGTGTGCTGGCGTGGGATGGTTGGCGATGGTGGTGGTGGTGGTGGTGGTG